CGGCCTCCCGGAGGGTTTTGCTGACGTAGAAGATAGCGTGTTGGATGCCATCTTCTTCCCGGATTAGCACTGAGCTGATGGCGGCAGGGCTAACGCCAAGGTATAAGTATAGAGTCTCCCCCACTTTTGGTTTGGAGAGCACTGGGGGAGAAGAGAGGTACTTCTTGAGTTCGTCGAAGGCCTCTTGATATTCAGATGTCCATTGGAAACCCGCTGTCTTTCTCATGATTTGGAAGAAGGGGAGGGCCCTCTCGGCCGACTTAGAGAGGAATCGGTTGAGGGCTGCCAGGCGACCCGTCAACCGCTGAACTTCTTTGACGTTGCGTGGGGGCTCCATGTTGATGATGGCCTGAATTTTCTCGGGGTTGGCCTCGATACCCCTTCGGCTGACCATGTATCCTAAGAACTTCCCTCCCTGCACGCCGAAGGTGCACTTCTTTGGATTTAGCCGGAGGTTGAATTTTTGCATGATGGCAAAAATCTCCCGGAGATCGTCGGCGTGAGTGCTTGCCTTCTTGCTTTTGACGATCATGTCGTCAACGTAAGCCTCCATAGTGCGTCCTAGGACAGCTTGAAAGACCCTAGCCACCATGCGTGTGTAGGTGGCGCCTGAATTTTTTAGGCCGAAGGCCATCACAAGATAGCAGAAGATGCCTTCGGGTGTCATGAAGGCAGTCTTTTCAGCGTCTCCCTCATGCATGTAGATTTGATGATATCCGCGGAATGCGTCGAGGAATGACATGACCTCGCATCCGGCGGTCTCATCCACCAATTGGTCAATGTTTGGCAGGGGGAAAGGGTCCATAGGACACGCCTTATTTAAGTCTGTGTAATCCACGCACATGCGGAAGGTAGGAGGCTTCTGTGCGAGGACTACGTTCGCTAACCAAGAAGGGTATTTCACCTCCTTAATGTGTTTGATGGAGAGGAGCATAGATACCTCCTTCTTCACGAACTCCCTTCTCTCGGCCGAGAGGGGTCTTCTCCGCTGTTGCACTGGTTTGGCCGAAGGATCCACCGCTAGGCGGTGGGTGATAACCCTTCGGTCAATTCCTGGCATATCCTCCGGCCCCCATGCAAAAACAATGGAGTAGGCGCGGAGGGCTTTGGTGATGCCAGCCTTCAAGTCTTCGGGGAGCTTGGCTCCAATCTTCAGGACTCTCTCCGGCTTGGCCGGATTGAGTATCAAGTCTTCAGTCTCCTCGGCGGGCTCAGCCCTTGGTCTGCCTTCTTCCTCTTCCAGAGCCTTGGTGGTGATGGTGTCGACCCGAAATTCAGTTTTACTAACCTTCTTGGTAAGTTGAAGGTAGCAGGCCCTGGAGAGTTTCTGATTCCCCCTCGAATAGCCGATGCCGGTAGGTGTGGGGAACTTGAGGCAGAGGTGCCTCATGGAGATGATGGCTTCCAAGTCCTCGAGGGCAGGCCGGCCGAGGATGATGTTGTGTGCGCAGTCGAGGTTGACGACGACGAATTCCACTTCGAGCTTGGCTCTATGGGACCCGTCGCCGAATTCAACCACTAGGGTGATGACGCCTTCGGCGTCTACGCTATCCCCCGTAAATCCGGAGAGGGGGGTGTTGATGTGCCGAAGGGCCCCCCTATTGAGTCCCAACTCTTGAAAGGTGCTGAGATACATGACGTTGACAGAACTCCCCGTGTCGACGTAAGTCCGGTGGATGATGGCGTCATTGATCTCAGTGCGGATGACGAGGGCATCCCTATGCGGCAGAGAACCCGAGGGGAGGTCCGCATCTGTGAAGAAGATTGGATCCGCCCTCGGCCTTTTGGTTGGGGGCATGTGATTGACTTCCCCAACATAAAGGGACTGTGCCCACTTTTTCCTTTGGCTTGTTGAATCGCCCCCGGTGTTGCCGCCGTTGATCATATGGATATGGCGCTTGTATTGTTGATGGGAGCCCTCTCCCTCGTCATCGAGGCCCCCAATTTCGCGTTTCTTCCCCTGTGGGTTTCCCAAGGGAATGGTGTTGGGGTTCACCCACTTGTTTGCTTTCGGCTGAGGCCCTTGATGGTGAAGGGGGCCCTGGGGAGGAGGGCCCCTGATAAATTGGGACAAGTGGCCCGCCTGTATCAGCCTTTCAATGGCGTTTTTTAGCTGATGGCAGTCGTCGGTCTTGTGCCCGTGGTGGCGGTGGAAGCGGCAATATGGCTCATCAGGGCCGATGGCATAGATCTCGAGGGGTGTACGGGAGTCTCGCTGACGAGCCCCCGCTCTTCTGCATGATCAAGAATGACGCTGACGGGATGCGTCAAGGGAGTGCGTGGGTGCTCAAGGAGGACGGGTTGCGCCCATGCCTTCGGGTTGTTTTTGTAACCGCCCCCGGTTCTGGCTTGGCCACCTCGGGGGCGATCATTATATTGAGCCACGCGGTTGGCCGGAGGAGGAGGTCCTCCGGGCCGATTCCTGCCTTCATTCCTCTGAGAAGGATCCGTGTTGCGGCGGTCCTTCTCGATTTCCTCCGCTTCAGCATATCGGTCCCCCCGCTGAAGGGCCTTTGTATAATCGCGGGGGGGGGGGGGGGGGGGGGGGATCAGTGATAAGGCTCCGGGAGAAGTTACCGTTACGGAGGACGGTGTGGAAGAGGGCCATTAGGGTCCTGTCATCGGCGCCTTCGACCTCGAGGGAGGCCTGCCTCCAGCGTTCCAGGAAACTCCGAAGGGTTTCCTCCTTCTGTTGTCTCACGTTTAGGAGGTGGGAGAAGTGCTTCTTTGAGCGATGCCTCCCAGCAAATTGTGTAAGGAAGCGGTGGGCAAGTTCTTGCCAAGAATCAATGCTGCCTTCGGGCAACCGGTTGAACCACTCATACGCGGGTCCCTCCAAGGTGGAAAGGAACCAACGGCATAAGTATTCATCTGAGGCCCCCATCATCATCATGCTATTTTGAAAGGTTAGCAAAGAAAAATCCTACGGAAAAATTAAAAGAAAACTAACTAAAAAAAATCTCGCTGAAATTAATTAACCCTTAAAACCGACACCGTCCCCGGCAACGGCGCCAAAAACTGATGTGTGTGTTTTCTCGCACTCAAAATAGATCGTAATATAGTGGTGTAAGTACGAGTATCGTCTCCACAGGGACGGACAAAAGGGAATTAAGAATTAACTAAATTCAGCAATTAAAAAGAAAATAAAATAAAAGCGTCGTGCGAGATTGGTTGGTTTGGAAAATAAAACTAATGCGAACAATTAACCTAGGGGGTTCTTTCTAATTAATGACGAAGGGAACAGGGATCGATTCCGGGGTAACCAGATTTCTGGCAGATCAAGCCTAATTACATGAAATTAATTTAATTGAGCCTAGCTAATCATAACTAAGTTCTTACCGCTCTCGCGGCGTAGAGTACAATAATTTAGGGGACCAGGCTGATCTCTCATGCGACAGGATCCTAAATTATTGCCAAGACGAGCGAGCTTACGGCCCCTTAATCGCTACTAATCTCTTAGCGAACGATTAAGTGTGTGTGAATGTGTCCTAGAACAAATTAGATCTATCTTAATTTATTCTACATGCAATTGTAATTCTAGTGGCCATCTAGGTTACAAAAGATATCAGTTAAATTATTCAAACACAAGTTAAACGGCATTCATGCAATTAAACCGACAAGAATCTAGTCATACATCATGATTAACCCCTTCATCAATCCCAAATCCCTAATTAAAACTACTCACAATTCATAATTGAAGAATCAATAGAATTGGAATAAAAAGAATTAATTGTCATTAATTAAAAAGGTGGAACTTACAAAGAATCCCAAAAGATTGATGAACAAGAATGAAAAGCCCTCTAAAATTCGTGCTAGGCACTCTCTCTAAGCTCCCCCCTTCAAAACGGGGGTTTTCAGGTTGTTTAAATAGAAAAATCGGGTAAAATTTGAGCTGAATTAGGATTTTCGGAGCCAGACACGATGCCAGGCACGATCGTGCCTTCAATCGTGCCTCCGGAGCAAAAACGCGCATTTTGGGCAGGCACGATCGTGCCTCCCTCCAGGCACGATCGTGCCTGGCTGGCAGTAGCTCCGCGGTGCTTTTCTCATCAGGCACGATCGTGTCTGACTTTGAGGGCACGATCGTGCCTACTTAACTTCCGAATTTGACGAAACTTCCTTCATGAAAGTTGTAGATAATGAAGTCCTCTATCTACCTCAATTTGCCGAATGTGATTTGAATCATCCAATCAAGAGATATGATCAAAACGGTGGAAGGTGTCTTTCTGAAATCGCAGCAGAGATCATCTGACTTCATCGTCTGTTTTCACCTTCTTCCTCTCCGATTCTCGCAAAGGTGTCTTCATATCATTTGTATCCCTTGAAGTTGGATTTCCTATGGAACTTGAATCGTGTACATTGGATGTTTATTCAAAGAGATATGCTTGAACGATTGACAGAAGGTCATCCTGATCGTCGTTTTCAAGCTTCATTCATCTTCTTTTGATCCCGAAGCCAGTCCTAGAGCTCTTTTTCCTTCAAATCTTCATCGTGAATCTTCCGGTGACCTCCAAAGCTATCAAATCATTCTCAAATGCTTCTCAAATCATCCCGATTGTTCCTCAAGTGCCGGTGCCGGGCTCAAATTCCCTGATTTTGACTACAAACAACACAAAACTCGAACCAACGCCCGGTAAACATAACTTGAGCTAAAATTGAGACTTGTAACACCTTAAAACTAGGAAAATCATCAAAAGCCGATCTCAACACGCATCAAATACGTGTCAAAATACGGACTTATTAGTTTCATAAACCAAAAGTTGTATAAACATCAAAACCTTCCGAGAAGGTGTTTTCCGGTGAACCGGTCTTACTCCGATCATAACTCTGTTCATGGTTAGTATCCAACCCTTTGGATGATTAAATTACTATATTAAGGTCTTATACTACACTTATAATCGTGTAGAATATCCAACTTATTCGTTAATAGGGTTTATAAACAATTTTGGGTAATATCTAGAAACCAAATACAAACTGTTTTTGAGAATCCAGATTTATACCTCATGTGTTTATGTGCCCTTTTTGAGCTGTAAACACCTCGTATCCTTAAGTGCAGCACCTCGTATGAAAGATCTCTTCAAGACCTATCTAATGACACCTCACTCAAGCTCATTGGATTAGAGATGCATGAGATATGAGGTGAACAATCTCGAGGGTTGAAATTGTACGAGCTAGTTGGCAGCCTTCTTCTCTTTTCTTGCTTCCTTCTTTCCCCTTGTTCTTAGTTCGAGTAGAGCTGGTGGAGATGATGTTTGTGAGACTCTTTTCCTCCCTAATTGATGCTAGGGCCGAAATAATAGGAGGGTGGGTGAGTGAGATGTCCTTTTTGTCTTTCATGTATGAATGGTGTGGGGGAAAGGTTCATTTGATGACTTATTAATCCCCCCATCATCTCAATTCATTTCCAGCTCTTCAACATGGTTCTCCTCACTTATTTGAGACCATAAGTCGTGGGGTGGCCCCCACCCATGTGTACTTTCGGTCCCGAAAGTTGTATTTTCCGGACTGTTTTAATTAAATTTTATTTTGTCGGGTCAAATAAAATATGTATCATTATTCCAATCAATATTGGCCTCTATAATGAATATATATTACCCAACTTTAATTTAGTGGTCCCCGGGATTCATCTCGGGTTGTTATCTGATTAATTAACTATACCGATAATGGGACCTCGCTTGATCGAAAAGCCAACTTTATGGCTCAACATCAATTTACACCATCATATAAATATTATCTAGACCAAGATGAATATAATATATGGTCTGTAAATATCGGATGGTCCTCGCCCATGTGTGGGCCCAACGTGCATTTTACTGTTCAAGTAACAGTAAAAATGAGAACACGTTGCTTCAAAAATTCGTTCATCATTTCTAATGACTAAATATGTGTTTTCATATTTTGTGACACTTTAATAAAATGTTACACTTATTTTTAAGTGGTCCGAACTGTATGAACAGATAAAATCTTATCTGTTTATTCTTATACGAAAATATCTTCAAGGTAGGGTCCTCCAAAAGTACCCACCTCCAACATGTCCAGTTACTCATTATTATCCATCATCCCATATTTTGGGTTCTTAAAATATTTATATTCCTTCTGTTATTAATTCGTAGCCTTCCGAATTATTATTAATCCGATAAGTAATGATTCACAATTATCGTATAGAGACCCCGGCCCGCTTGGCCGTCTAGTTGTCGTTCCTTATATCACTGGGGTCCATGACCCATCCCTACTATCATAATACTATCATTTTGGTAAACATTAATATTTTATAAATAAACTTAGAATATCACGAGAGGTTCCACGTCAAAATTAATTACCCTTTATTAATTTAAGACATAATTTTACTTTCTCATTTATCAAAACTACTCTTAGTCTTGATTTACCTTCTTTAACCCAGTACTTGATGAAAAAAATTTCTCACAGTAAAATTCGGGTCCGGTGTTACAAGATATGTCTGTTTAGTCAAATTTGTATACTTATGCCTTATCTGCTTCTTTTACTAAATGCGGTTATGCGGGCTCTTCATCGATTGAAGGGATTTCTATTCCCCATCCTGTAGTATGTCTGATTTTGTTGTGCTCCAGGTCATCCCACCTCTACTTGTCCGTTCTGCTTTGTTCAGCCAGTTGCACCTGCTTTTGCTACTCAGGCTCCTGAAGCTTCTGATCGACATCGTGTGGTATCCTGACTCAGGTGCCTCAGCCCATATGACTTCTCATCCAGGTATTTTTTCTAATAGAACATTTTCTCCTAATTTTCATTCGATTATAGTAGTTGATGGTACTTCTCTCCATGTTATGCATACTGGTCAGGTTACCTTGAGTTTCTCTCCTCGTCCTCTCCAAAGCACGACTTAACTTCCTTTCCTGTAACCACTTATAGACCAAAAGTAACACTAGTTGTTTGTCATCAACAAAACATTATGTTCCAACAATCATTGAAGGAGAGGAAGAAGTGACTCTTGTCAATTCAAGGTGAGTAATAGATTCATAAATTATGAAAATGATTTGATTGTAGATTATGAGTGCTCCAAATAGATGACAATTGATAATATCAGACTTAACCTTAATGGTAGCCCTGACAGGTATATTTATAATGAAAAGAGTTATAATTACAACAGGAGTCCCACAATAATAAACAATAACAAAACTACTCTATTACACCTCTCAATCTGTGCAGGGAAAACAATGCGGAGATTGTCACGAAGAAGAGTAAAATGTTGTGGCGACAAACACTTGGTAAAAATATCTGTCAGCGAGCCTATGTGGGAACATAGTTAACACGGAGATAACCATGGGCCACCCACTCACGAACATAATGATAATTAATATTAATATGCTTACTCCTAACATGATGAATGGGATTAACTGGGAGAAATGAAGCAGATACATTATCACAAAATAAAGTAGTTGACACGCGGACAGGAAAGCCCAACTCGAACAACACTGAGCGTATGTGAAGAGTATCCTGAACAGTAAAAGCTATGGCTTTATATTCAGCTTCAGTGAGAGCAGGGGACAATGGGCTGCCTCTTGGATGACCATAAGATTAGATTTGGGCCCAAAAAATCGCATAGCTAGAGGTAGACCTGCCTGTATCAGGACATCCAGCCTTATCGACATCAGAATAAGCAATGACCGATGTCGGATGGCGAGAAGACTGTAAGAGTAAACCATGAGTGGATGCCTGAGAATACGCTTAACAACCAACATATGTGAAGTCATGCATAAATTGAAACCAGGTGTACAACAAAAGTAATATCTTGCCTAATCAAAGTCAAATACTGTAATGCATCTACCATACTCTTGTACTTCGTGGCGTCAGTAAGGAGCTCTCCATTAGTAGGGGAAAATTTAGTACGACTAGGAAGGGGAGAACGAACAAGTTTTAAAGTATGAAAATGAAAACGATGAAGAAGATCAAATATATACTTACGTTGAGAAAGAAATAGACCAGACGGAGTACGAGATGAATGCATGGATGCCACAACATTTTTCATACTATTAATACTCCCTCCGTTTCTAAAAGAACCTCACACTTTTCTTTTTTGGATGTGCCAAAATAAAAGTCACACTTCCCTTATTTCCTTATTTGGCAAAGAAATCTACATCCAAACAGTGTCAAACAGTGCCAAACAATGCCAAATAGTGTCCAAACAGTGCCAAACAGTGTCTAAACAGTGTTTTCTACAGTAAAGTCAATTTATTTCCTTAATAATCGTGAAGTCAAACCGTGACTTTCTTTTAGAAACGGAGGGAGTATTTTTTTATTTAAATATATAATCAGTCAAAGTTATATACCATTGATTTGAAAACTATGTTTGAGTATGTTGTTTCAAAAGGGTTGAATTCCTAACCTTTAAGGCCCCTCCCACGCTCCAACTCTACAAAAACAGAGAATGTATAGAGCAATAGAGGATGACTCATTAAATCTAAGGAAAATTCTATGGTACATCACTAAATATAGCATGTACCGGTGCACTCACTATGTAAACCAATCAGATGATGGCATAGCGCCAGTTCACGTCCTAATCATCGAGTAATAATATTTTGCAGTTTAATCCTCCCAAAATGAGAAAGTGGAGAAAAGTAAATTGTCTGCTGTCCACTTCGAATGGGGCACTTAACGAACCCACCTTCCGTCACTTCAACTATTTCCGTCAATAGCAGTTCCGTCAATAGCATTTCCGTTCAAACAGAGTGGAACACCTGGGTTTCTTATCTCACACCTTCAGCAGAAATCATATTTGATTTTCCGATCTATAGTTTGGACGATCTGTTCATGTTCAACTCGTAATGAAGAAGAGATCTAGAGAATTCAAACCCAAACCTGAAACTCTCATCCTCGACGCCGTCACTCTTGGCCCGGCCCTCATGAAGCACTTAGCTTCCTGTAGCGCCCCCGTCCGATCCAAAGCGCTGAGGTTGCTCAAGGTATGGCTGCTGTGTCAATCTGAAATAGCCGACGACAATATTTTCTCTTAACTTGAATTGTTTCTCGTCTCTCTGAAACGTGAATGGATTGGGATTGACGGCTTGAGGCTCGATAAATTTTACTAACTTGTTATGAAATTCATTTACTCAATTTTCTCTCTATGCAAGAAACATAGCTGGAATGTGGAGCTTCTAACTAGAGTTTTCGATATTTTCATTAGTAATGCGTTTTAGTAGAGGATAAGTTATTAGGTAATGGAGTGTGTTATCACATCATTCCGATTTGGCTTGATGAGTGAAGAGCTGTATTTGATATGTTGTTGAGTATTCCCTTAAGATGTTGTTTGGAGTAATTAAAAGGTCCTAGGATAGGGTATTGGTTGGAAAAGTGAAGAGCTGTATTTGATATGTTGTTAAACACTGGGAAGACTGGGAAGAGTTTACTGGAGAAGAAGATGAAAGGAGCTGAAAGCTATGCAGAGGTGGCTCTTGGTTTGATTTCAATAAAGATGGTTTTTTCATCAATGTTTTTTGAGATTAATTTATCTTTGGAATGTCATCAGAGAAACAGGAAAATTAGCTACAACTTACATGATGAGTTCTTGAAATTGAACCTATCTGAAACCTCAAGGGTTGAGTGGTTGACATTGTGCTTCCCAAGGTTCCTATTCAAGAAGAGGAGATTCTTGATATGGTTCCAATTGAGATCAACATGGCAAGACAAATAAAGGAGATTCTGAAAATGCATAGGCAGGTGAGACCATAAAAGACAATCTTGTGGTCGAAAGCCATGCCGAAAAGGGTCCTTTGCAAGTTTTTTGCTCACAGGGCCTGTCTAAAGGGTGAACATTGTGAGTTTTCACATGATTGGAAAGCCCCTCCTAATAATATATGCACCTATTACTGAAAAGGAATGTGCACATATGGAAGCAGGTGCAGATATGAGCATGCTAAGTCTTCACGATTACAATCTTATGCGCCATCTTCAGTACCTTCTCAACAAAAAATGCTATCAAGTGCTCTTCCAACCATCTCCACAGAACAGTTTGGTTTGGCCAGACCATTTGACCCTCCCAACAAACAGATTTGGGACCCTCTCAAGTGTAATGCTGAATTGCTGATAATCCTGTACATCTTAGCTCTTTGAATCTCAGTCTGTTGTACTCTTTCAAAATTTAGGAATTAGTCATTGTGAATTGGATTATTCATGGATCACATTAATGTATTTGGCTTTGCCGTGGAATTTGGCTCATATAGATTTTTCTGGCATTGTATGCTGAAAATTCATAGCAGTTCTGAACAAAGTGGATTTATTTTAGGCATAAAATATGCACATGGCAAGGATTTCGTAGGTTTCTTGATCAGTGTGACTCTAAGCTAGGTTGTAATA